CAGAATTCTTCTCACAGAGAAGTTACAGATTAAGCCTTTCCATATCATGGAAAATGATATAGGTAGTAGAGTCATCCAAACTCAAACAACAACAACAACAAAAAACCTGCCCTGAAGTCACTACTATACCAACATTGTGAGTGACTCAGATCTGTATATTAAGTTAATGTTAATAGAAACTGCTATTACCTTTGTATTTTTTTCTCTGTATCATTCCGATTTTTTAGTGTATGTGCTGCTGAAGCAAGTACTACCTTTGTATTTTGTACGTATTTGTTTGAAATTTTTCACAATAAAACGTTGGAGGAAAACTTCCTTAGACTCTTGATGAAAGCTGTTAACAAAACATTTCTTCTTAGAGAACACCTAAGTAAAAACACCAGTTAGGATCTTCGAATGAGCATTTCTCTACACAAGTGGAGAGAAGATAATTTTTTTAAAAATAAACTTATTTATTTATTTATTTTTGGCTGCATTGGGTCTTCGCTGCTGTGCAAGCGCTTCCTCTAGTTGCCACAAGCGGGGGCTACTCTTTGTTGCAGTGCGCGGGCTTCTCATTGTGGTGGCTTCTGATGTGGAGCACGGGCTCTAGGCACGTGGGTTTCAGTAGTTGTGACACATAGGCTCAGTAGTTGTGGCTCACGGGCTCTAGACCGCAGGCTCAGTAGTTGTGGCACACAGGCTTAGTTGCTCCACAGCATGTGGGATCCCAGACCAGGGCTCGAACCTGTGTCCCCTGCATTGGCAGGCGGATTCTTAACCACTGTGCCATCAGGGAAGTCCCTTAAATTTTAAAATATGGAAATAAGAGTACATTACTTGTCTTCCCTAATGAGATCTATTTAAATAAGAAATGTAGCCAAAGCCTTAACCATTTGACATCCTCAAACATTGACCTCTGAAAAGAAAAAGTCCTACGGTCTGTTGGAACGTGTGAACTCAAATATTACACTAATACCTATGCATGAAATCTTAATTCATTCTTTCCTTCCTTGCATCCTTCTATTTCTCTATCCATCCAAACATATACTGTGCATTATGTGTGAAGCCCTGGAGATACAATCCCTGCCCGCTTTCCAGGGGGAGAGAGACAAGCGAACCACACATGAGAAGAACACGAAGAAGGCTCACAACAGACTTGGGTACCAGTCTGGTCAGGGAGCACCCAGGCTGGGGATGAGCTGAGAAGGGGAGTCAGGGAAGACCCCTTCAGTTCAGGATCTTACAGAAGCCTTCAACATCTTTATAAGACAAGAATTACACTTATTTTTTCACATGAGGAAACTGATGCTCAGATGGGTTGGGCAAACTGCCTACGATGAGTCCACACAGTTTGTAAGTGGCAGAACCAGGATTTAAAAACCAGGCCCGTGGTCCCCAGAGCCCTGACACTGAGCTGCCCCTCTGAGCTCTAACACGCCAAAGAAGGGCTTGAAAATGGCCTGTTCTGAATCTAGCAGCCCAGGTGATCCTTGTTAAACATGAACTGCCCCATGAACTGGCCTGCCCCTGCCTCTTGGACCTCATGTTCTAAATGATTCCTCAACTCCTTGCTCGCACCGTCCGGCCACGTGGCCTCTTTGATGTGCCTCAAACACAACAGGCGCACGCTTGTTGCAGGGAGTCTGCATTTGCTGTTCTCTCTCCCTGGAGAGCTCATCCCCTGCACAGCTGAATAGCTTTCTTCCTCGGGCCCATCCTCAGCGGCATCTCTGAGTAGAGCTGACCTTGAGCCTCCTACTTGAAACTGCTTTCCTCTATCCCACCCACACCCCACCACACACACACACACCTTGGGCCTCCCCAGCCCTCTCTTCCATGCTTTCTTTCTCAACATTGCATTTATCACCACTTAACATACCGTGTAATTTACCTATTGGTCTGGGCTCTCTGCCTCGACCTACCTGAATATAAGCTTGGTGAGAGTAGGGAAATTTCTTCTGTTCCCTGGGATGCCGGGCACGGAGCAAGGTACTCAACACGTATGTGTTGAATTAGGCTGAAAGCAGAATTGTTGCAGGCATGACCCATACCTGTACTGCTTACGCGTGGACAGTGGCCCGACATCTCCCACATGAGATGCTGCCGACTTGGTGGAAGGGGGTCAGAAGAAGCCAGCCCAGGGGCTACAGGGAGCTCATTCTTAAATCAGTGCCATGCAAAGGTGCCCGAGTGAGTCCTCTTCCCTGGCATGTGCTGAGGAGACGCAGACACTACCCACCTGGATGCTACTACCCAAGGAGGCCCATCAGGGCTCTCGATCTCAAGGTGTGGTCCTGGGTGAAGGGGACACCTCAGACCAAGCAGTTAGGGGAAGTAAAGTGTAGCCTATGTTTCTGCCTTCTCCCAAAGTGCTAAAAAACAAAAAAACTCTGCCTAGCCACTCAAGGAGGTCCTTATTCTCCCAAGTTAAGCTCCACCTGTTTGCAGAAGGGCTCTCTTCTTACACTGGCCTTTTGTACCCCAGGTTTAGGAAACCTCACCAAAGCTACTGAAAGAAAACCATAACGGTTCAATCCTCCAGGAGTTCTCAGACAGCAAAGGGTGGACTCTCAACCTGCCTACAGAGTGGCTGCAGGAGTGAGATGTTCTAAGCATCTTGGTGTCTGCTGAGTCTAGAGAGGGATGAATGGTGAAGACCGAAGCACAAAAAAGATCGCACAAAGTCAAACAGCAAACGCATTCAAGGGGAGGGAGAGTGTACACTTTTCATCAGGGAGGAGCTCGTGCCACAGAGTGTATAACGTCTCCCAAACTCCAAATGCAACCTCAGGCTAATCCCTCGTATCAGTAAAAATCCTGGCCACATAGATTAAACTGGGGTGAGGTGGGGGTGGAAACGAGGGTGATGCGTAATAATAATGCGAAAGCCCTAAGTACCGACTTCACAAAATCCTAAGGCACTTAAAGGGTGACTTTCATAAGTGAAATTCTACAAAGGAACCCAAACCACTGCAAGACAGTTTCCAAAAAGCAAACAAAACCTCACTGAGAGATGGTACTATAATTTCTGGAGTTTGCATCAGTCTGTTTTCTGTAGTTAGGAACAAAGGGTGTCTGGTTTGGGTTACAAAGGCAGTGTTCCACTATAAAAACCTGCTGGTTGCCATGACAACGAACAACTCTGTTCCTCCCTTTTCGGCAGCATCCTGCTTACATCTGAGTCAAATCAAAGGACCTATCTGTGATGCCCAGGGTTTAGTATTTCCTTTGCACGAGGATGTAACGATACATACACACACATATACTCATATACAAAGCACATCATCAAAGGGCTAATCAGAGGGGAACCAAAACCTCAAAAATGGGTACCACCTGTCCTTCTCTCCCAATCACATCCTACAAACATCTATCAGGAGACACTCATGCAGGAGAGTGTGAGCATGAAGGGAGGTGGGCCAGGAAGCCTTAACAGCGGACACCTACTCCTTCCCGTCTAGAGCCTCTCAGGGTGGACTCTGGGTCAATTCTTTCCAGAAGGGCCCATGTGAGGTCAGGGCTCCCTGGAGCACTGCCATTTTCTGTGTGCAAGTCTGTCCTCCTGAGCCTGAGCACCTCCAGGGCAGTGCCCACGTCTGACCGGTCTTAGGGCCCAGCCCAGCGCTGAGCACCCAGTGAAGCTCTTAGGACAATGAAGGGGGAACTGGAATAAGGGAGCCTCTCCTCATATTTTCTACGGAGACCTCGAGTTGGAACACATCCTGCTTCAAATCATCCCTGCCTAGGAAGAAAGCCAGGGAATTCTAGATCCATGCTCTAGGGTGTGCAGCGTGGGACCTACAATGCAGCGCTGCTACTGGTTTCTGTCACTGGGGTCACAAGTCTTGACCACTGACCCTTCCCCAGACCTGGGGCAAAACAAAGAGTAAATGAGAAAGTTATAGCATTACTGTGATTTATCTTCTCCTTTTCAGGACAAAGGCTGCTCATCATGTAGCTAGATTTAACTGCAAAACAATGTTTGTTTTAGAAAAGCTATGAAAATACCAAAAAGCCAGCGGAAGAAAAATAAAGCACCCAACGCTCTACTTACCCAGAGGTAACCAGTGTCTAGATTTGGGTTTCTATGTCACTATCCTTTCAGCGGTTGTTGCAGTTCTGCCTCATGGTTAGAGGCAAAGGCTCATGAAGGCAGACCAATCGGGGTTCAAGTTCCAGCCTTTCCATTTCTTACTGGTATGATCATGCTTGAGTTATTTACCCCTGTTTGAGCCTCAGTTCTTCATCCATAAAATGAGGATAACTGTACCTACTTCTTGGTACTGTTGTAAAAATTATCGTAACCCACGTAAGCCCTTGTCACACTGCCAGCAGAACGACTCACTTCTGTTAGCTTTACTCACGTTCTATTTGTATGTGCCACTTCACAAACAAAAATGGTATCTTCTGTGCACATATTTTGAAAACTTTTTCAATCAACGTAAAAGCATGACCTCTTGACATGTCAATGAATATACTTCTATAAACTGATGGCTTTAATTCTAAAACAAGAGCTTTGATAGACATTAACGAGAGTATAGATGCTTAAGTTCTTGGCGTGGTCCAAAAAACTGCCTACTAGCAAACTCAAAATAACTTTATATGTGCTTTCAGAAAAAGTTAAAATGCGTACAAACTTTAAACAAATACTATGCAACATCTACATAAAATCTAACATCATTCTGAAAATCTTCTATGACAAATATTAAAACATGACTTTAAGAAATCACTCCTGTAAATAAAGTTACTTGACAAAGCTATTTAAGAACAGATGGTAAGGCTGAAGATATTCTTTTTCCTCTGCCCCAGGAATGTCACTTCTAAGTATCTTTCCTAGCGAAACCCTCCCACAAGTATACAGACCTTCTCAGAATCAACCTGCCTGTCCACCATTAGGCGAATGGCTATCAACAGACTCTGGTTTACTCATATACTGAAATAATGTACAGCAGTAAAAAATGGAAATGAAGTTGAATAAGTGTATAAACACCATGTTGGAAAAAATAACCAGTTACAAAAGATTGCATTTATATAAATATTTAATCCAAAATACAAACTATACATTGCTTACGGATTCTCGCAATATATAAAAACATACAAAGGAATGAAACACGACAAATTCAGCTTACAGAGACCTCTGAGGAAATAGGAAGGGAGAAGACATCCAGACATTGTATCTGGGACCATTTATCTCTTAAAAACAAGTGACAGAAATCTGGTGTAAACGTGGCAAAACGTTAACACCTGTTACATCTAGGAGTAACAGGTGGTGCTCCTACGGAGCATGCTTCTCTATGGAGAAGACCTTTTTGTAAAGTGTGGTGCTCATAGACCTACCTATGAGCACCACACTTTACAAAAAGGTCTTCTCCATATCTGAAGCATTTAGTAATTAAAAATAAAGTTGTCTACTATTTAACCAGAACTTTGGTTAATGATTTGACACAGGTTTTCCTCATGCTCAGAACATCCTTCCCTGGTTTACTTTTAAAATATGGTGTAAGTTGCTGTTTCTGATGGGCCATTTCATTACCTTATAATTTTGGAATCTGATGTCACTGCATTTACTTCCATAGGACATTAACTTCAACCTTAAATTAAATTTAACAAGCAAAGCAAGCATAAACTTAAGAAAATTAAAATCCACTGAGAGTTTAATAAGCTAGCTGCCCTAGAAAAACATCCAGGCTCATTTTAGGCTACTGTACAAATAAACTAAGGAGCAATTACTTTAAAGAATTATTTACTAACAAAGTAATTGTGATTTCTGAAATGTCCAAAGTATCACAAAATAAAATAATCTTTGTATACAGATTTAGTATCTCTGTCTTTCAACAATATATGTATTATTCTTATTTAGCAAATCTGTTACCATTAAAATCACCCCAAATTTGCAACAAATTATTTCAAAAATGAAGGCTGAGAAGGCATCAACGTTAATTTAAAGGAAGTTACATAAATACAAGATTATTTAATTCATCTATTTGCCCAAAGAAAAGTTTCAAAATATGTCTGTTGGAATGGTGGGCTCAGTTGCAAAACCATCCTTTAAACAGCACAAGGCTGAAGAGTTCTCCTTTTAACTCCTTCTTTAAAAATAAGAGCTTAGGGACTTCTCTGGTGGCACAGTGGTTAAGACTCTGCGTTCCCAATGCAGGGGGCCCAGGTTCAATCCCTGGTCAGGGAACTAGAACTCACATACATGCCACAACTAAGGAGCTGGTGACCCACAACTAAGGAGCCCACCTGCCGCAACTAAGGAGCCTGTCTGCCACAACTAAGACCCAGCGCAACCAAATAAACAAATAAATATTTTTTAAAAATAAGAGCTTAGGGCTTCCCTGGTGGCGCAGTGGTTGAGAGTCCGCCTGCCACTGCAGGGGACACGGGTTCGTGCCCCGGTCCGGGAAGATCCCACATGCCGCGGAGCGGCTGGGCCCGTGAGCCATGGCCGCTGAGCCTGCGTGTCCGGAGCCTGTGCTCCGCAATGGGAGAGGCCACAACAGTGAGAGGCCTGCGTACCGCAAAAAAAATAAAAAATAAATAAAAAAAAAAAAAAAAAAAATAAGAGCTTAATTCGAGCCCTGAGTACTTTAAAAACTTTCTTGCTATTAGACCATTTTAAATGGCCAGGGTGCTAGTCAAATTTCTCGACAGAACTTAATGTTCCCACCCACCCAAACAGTGGGAACACTTCGGGATATTAGAAACAGAAAATGATTTGGTGTTAAGTAAGAGCCCTCATGGCTCCCCAGGTCGTAACAGGACATAAATGAGCCACCTGAATGAAAGAAGACTCTCACTTTAATTCTGGTGCCCACATAACCAACAGATGCCAATTCAGTGAGTACCTCTAAACTGCTCAGCACATGAGGTAAATTTTGGCTGGCTTTATACAACAATATTACTTGATAATTTGCTTAAGTCAGGAGGTTTTGACAAGCACAGTGCCTTTCCAAAATGAAAATACCCGTAATAAAAGCACACTCATTCCACCATTTATATGCTCTTGGGTCAGCTTAAGAAATGTTAAAGTGTTCATTTCGGGGCACAATCAACAGTTTCAACCTCCCTCTGTGTCAGACACAGGGATTATAAGCCATGTGAACCTCTCAATAATTAACTTAGGTGCACAGAACAACCCCTAAACATGTACTGATATTAACAAGCCACAGGAGTAACCTACAAATAAGGATAATTAAGCCAAACAAAGCAACAGCTCATTACCTACAAACATGAAATCTTGTTTTATTTATTTTAACATGAGTCATAAACCAACTTAAATTCCTAGTACCGAGGACAGCATAAGGGTGCTATATATGCTTACTAAGTGAGAGGGCCACAAGCTTGAAAGTAGTCTGCTGAAAGTCATTCCTGCTCTTTCATCTCCAGAGCTAGGATGGTGGACCACAATGATTAAGGCAGCACAGAGGGCTTAGGAAACAACAACACATACTCTTTATACTGTAAAGAATATGTAGAACTTGTTGAGAGGTAACATCTACTTCAAAAGAATTGAAAGCAAATTTTTTTTTTAAATGACAAACTTTACCATCTCTTCTCCTTTACCTTTTGGTCTTTCCTTACAGTAGGTGATACTGGAATCATGCCTGTTGAAAGTTTCTAAATGCATGAGCTACAGTTCTCAAAATGCTCATTTCAAATCCTGGATGACGGTGTGGGAGGGAGGGGGGATATCAACCCAGAATAAATGAACCAAAATTATAACCTTTGATTCAATACTTTTAAAACAGGAGAAAGAAATTTATAAAAATGAAACTCTACATATGGACAGCAGTGTATTTTTAAAGAGAAGTAACTATGCAAAAAATGGTGCAGGGATAACTATGTCATTTATGTGTAGACATCTTAAAGAGAATCAAATTCTAACTGGATCAAGGTTAAAATACATAAAAACAAAAATCATAAAACATATTTAAAAAACATGGTATTTTGGTTTTTTAAAGGCTCTTAAAATCTGGAAGGCCATTCTAAGAATGACACAAACCTGTAAGCCCTAAAATTTTTAAATTTCTTCATGGCAAAGTCTGGTTAATATTTATTTGGTGTTTGGTATATGCTAGCTCTATACACACGCAACGTGTCATTAAATCAGTGTGGAAGGCAGAATTCTAAGACAGCCCCCAAGATTCCTACCCACTGGTGTATACACCCTGTCAGATAACCTCTCCTTGTGTATGAGCAAGACGTGTGACTATGATGGGATTTTACTCCCATAATTAGGTTACATTATATGGCAAGGGTGAAAGAATTTTGCAGATTTAATTAAGGTTCCTAATCAGTTGATTTTAGTTCATCAAAAGATGGAATAACTGAGTGGGCCTGGCCTATCAGGTGAGCCCTCTGAAAGAGCCCTTGTCTGGAGGTAGTGCAACAGAGACGCTCTCCTATTGGCCTTGAAGAAACAGCCTACCATGTTGTGGAGAGGGCCACATGGCAGGGAATAGTAGGCAGCCTCTGGGGGCTGAGGGCCTCAGTCCTACAGCTGCAAGGAACTTAACTGGGTAAACAACCAGTGAGCTTGGAAAAGTATTCCAAGCCTCAGACAAAACTGTGGGCCTGGCTGACACCTTGATTTTAGGCTGATGAAACTGAGCAGAGGATGCAGGTAAGCTGGGTCTGGACTCTTGGCCCATGGAAACCGTGAGATGATAAATGGGTGTTGTTTTAAGTTGCTAGATTTGTAGTAATTTGTTATGCAACAGTAGAAAATTAATAGTCAGAAATGACAAACTGGAAAAAATGTAGGTGCAAACAACCTATTTAATAAGAAACTTCTACAAATCAAACTAAGAGATGAATAAACCAATAGATAAATGGCCAGAATATATAAACAGGTAGTTCACAATAAAGACAAATGTTTTTTAAGTGTGTGAAAATATAATTAACACATTGTACTACAATTACATAAGATGTAACCCTTGGGAGAATCCGGGTTGGGTAGAGGGGTGGTACACGGACATTTCTGTACTATTTTTTTGCAACTTCCTGTGGGTCTGTAATTATTTCAAAATAAAAATTAAAACTACAATCAACCTCATTCGTATCAGGAAAAATATAAATTAAAATGAGGTACCACTTTTCACCTAGCAGATTGGTGAAGATCAACAAAACTGACAGTACACTGTGTGTCGGAAAGATGTGAGCTGAGGCATGTTCATACACTGACCGTAACATAAACTGTATCAGTTTCGCTCTCTGCTGCACAGGGGCGGTGTTCAATTTCACAATAGCATGATTTAAAACGCACACACCCTTTGATGAACAATCCCACGTTTAAGAATTTAGCCTATTAACATATTCTTCACACGTGGGAAAAGAAGCATGCCCAAGGGCAGTCAATGGGGTGCCTATAATAATCAAAGATTGGAAGTAATACAAGTATCCTTTAGTAAGGAAATGGTTCAATAAATTATGGAATACCCATATAGTGGAGTCCTGTACAGCAATTATAACAAGGTCGATTAATCTGCATTGATACGGATCAAGAGTAGAATACACTTTCCAGCTTCTGAAGTCCTGTAGAGCACACCCACACCCACTCATTCGGTCAGTATTCACAAGCCCCAACTTCGTACCACCCTCCATGTCTGGATAAAAAACATAACCATCCCCAAGTGAGAGGATGAAGCAAGTGCCCAAGGCAGAAAGGGGAGGCATGGGAGCCCACAAAGAAAGGAGACCAGAGCTCAAGGGCAGAGAGAGGGTGAAAGACAAAGGTCAGATGAAGAGGCTCTGGTGTCAGGGTAAGAAGCTGGGATTCTGTCCTGCTGCAGGATTTAAAGCAAGATATTGACAAGACACTATGCAAAGCATACAGTTACTCTAAAAATAAAGCAGTGGTCCAGCTGGAGAAGCTCATGATCAGGAGACCATGCATGATTTCACGAGAGGTGTCTTAAGGTACCTCAACTTGAGCACTTGCGGTAAGCTGAGTCGCCCAGGCACACCCCTTCACCTCACGCCTGTCGAGGTGCTGAGACCTACAGAGCCAGGAGGACAGCATGAAGTCCTCTTGAAACATGCCAGCTTGTGGGGTGGATTCAAAGGACATACATAAGACATCTTCCTCACTTGGAGAAATATTTACAAGCAGATGTCTCAAGCATCTAGACAAGCTTTCCTTAACCACGTTCCTTTACAGCTCTTCACCCAATATTTAAGAATGGAGTCAAAGCAGCAAACTATTCGACTGCATTTCTTCAACCCTCCTCTGTCTCCTGTGCTTTTAATGGTTGAAGCTTTCGAGCACTTTGCCTGATGCCAATGCACAGCCTGAACAGCTCTTACTGAATGGGCCTCATATGTTCAGATAAATTAAAATCGATGCCAACTAGTGATTCAGTCTCAAATCGAGGCCACCTGTTCCAATTAGTGAGATTAAAATAGTACGCCACTGAAGCCGAGTTCCAAGCCTTCTGGATTATGACAACATCTTTACAAAGACAGAGAAAGAGGGACTTTCGGTCCCAACACACACTTGCACACACATGAGTAAATATACCGAGGTGTTGAAGCATAGCATTCACTAAGGGCAGACTTTATTTTTGGACAAGTGCTTATATCAGATTTTCTGAGAAAGGATGCAGCTCAAGGCATCATTTAGTTTCCTTACGTTACAACAAGCCTACAGATACAGCTTAATTAGATTCAACTTTACTTCAGAGAAACACAGAGCTTAAATTTCTTCTCCACCCACTTTCTGTCCTTGCCTGAATCTCCCAAAGAATCCGCATCTTCTGGATATCCATTCTTTAGCCTCAGGCCTTCCCTCGGTCATGGGAAGACTAGAAACACAGCCTGGAACACAACTCTTGTCTTCCCAACCTCTCCCAAGTATCCCTACCCAGACAAGACTGTCTTCAACTCAACAGGGTGCACTTTTGTTCATCCCAAAACATTCAATTATTCAAATTTTCACAATCCATGAGAAGAAAATATATATATTTCTAAGCATTTTCTAGGCAAACGGTCTAAGAGAACTGTTTCATAAAGGAAGGGAGATGATACATGAACACCAGTGTTTTCCTCAATGATTCTGAATCATTTTAGGAGGACAAAAATGAAAGCGTTAAACACACAGAATCACCGGGAGCGAGTCAGTCCCTTGAAAACAGTCCTCAATCCAACACAGCTGCTTCAGTCCAGGAGAAAGTCTTGTTCTGCACTAACAGCTCCCTGACAAAGCTCCCGCATTTGCTAATCTTTTTCATCTGGTGCTGCAGGCCTCAGAGGCCCAGACAGTATTCAGCTAGAGTAGTCACATGGATACTGTAAAGATAAAATTTTAAGGAGTGAATTGATTTAGAAATATTAAGTAAATAAGGGTACAGGTGGCCCGAAGCTGTTAGTAGGAGGCGTGGGAATGAGTGAAGTCTGGGGAACTCTGCAGTAGACAAAGAATGACTCAATGTCAGAACAACAAACGCTGTGATGGGTTTCCCAATGCCACTTCTCACAGTCATTCACACAGCTGGTAGGTGGAGAAGCTGACATTCCAGCTTGGCTCCAAAGTCCAGACTCTGAACCCTTCACTCCAGCCCTCAAATCTAGAAGTAAACTGCATTAAGTGAGGTTGGGGATAAAAAGGAAAAAGTGGTTGAGAAAATTTAAGAAGTAAACCACTGGATGTGGTGGACGAGGGGGGCTGATTGACAGGGCTTCCCATGCATCCAGTTTGGGGGCTGGCTGTATGGGAAAAGTATTCATCAGGAATTGCGGGGGATTGGAGAGAACGAGTTAAGTCTGACACACAGGCTTCGAGGTGCCTGTGGAACATCTGGGTACGCTGGGGTAAAGCCGCACCTAGGTTGGGCTCTCAAGTCAGCATGTTAAGACAGGAACCACACACACTTTCACTCAGGGAGGCATGTCCCTGGGATGGGCACTGGACGTGCCATCTCTCAAAAGGCCGATGGACCCCATCCCTGTGTTCCCCCGGGGTTGCAGCACATGACTATTTCTTCAGCGAAGAACCAGATGATGTTTTCGGTTTGTGTTTACAGGCTCTGTTATATGGAAATTATATATACCAAAGCCACTTGGTGCTGGAAGATGCTCTCAAAAGAGACTCACAGGAACGGAGAGCTTCAGAGGTGACAGAAGACTGGGGATGAATTCTAAGTGAAGTCCGTATATGATATATTCCAAGACTTCTGCATGTGGTATAAGTTTTTTCCCAGTACCCTTACCCAACAGGTAGAAGGTCAGACAAAGATGAACTCACTTCTCAAAATTTTATTTTGAAAAAAAAAAATGACAATAAAAGTGACCTCAGAAAAGATAATTTTTAAAAAGTGGCGGCAGATCCAGTGCAGCTAAGTAGTTTGATATATGAACTGTTACCCCTCCTCTTCACTCCAGCCCCACCAAAAATCTGGAAATAAATTCAGAAGGATAATGGCCCAACACTAAATCATTCAAAGTCAGCCTTTTTCACCTAAAAATCACAAAATTTTAAATCTGTTCATCAATTAATTCTCTACTGAAAATAGTTAGAAATTCCCATTTCACCCGAGTTCAATTTTGAGATGTTTATCACACGTAACTTAGCAATTAACTTGGTATTTAACAATGTTTTAAGCAGTTTTCTTTAAAGAAATTCTCTTCTAAGAGAGAAGCTGGCATAATGGTTAGTCCTAATCAGTCTGTATTAGTTACGTAATTTCACCGGTTACAGTCTGGCTGGATGTCACTTTCCTACTTCTGCAAGTGGAATGGTCTGGAGTTAATGTCTGAATTCTCCTTCAGTTCTAACACGGTGAAACCTTTGAGTCTAAGTTACCAACCCTCTGCCTTAAGTATGAGAAGCGTATGCCTTCAGCTCAGTGAAGTTCAAGTCCTACAGGGAGATCCTGTGAGGCCAGAACGTGACTCAGTTGTCACAAGGAGGAACGACCCTCGTTGTGTACTTCAACTGCTCATCCTCCAGAGACCAAAGACCAGGTAGAAGATTCCTTGACAATGTCTTTAAATCATAAGCTTATTTAACAGCCTTGAAGATGTCCCCAACTACTGTCAAAATTCTTACATCTTAGGCATTATAAAAAGTTCATAAATCATGCATTCTCCAAATGCTTACTGGGAACATACAACTATCTGCAAAGCACTGGCAAGGTGCTGTGTCCTAAGAATCCCGAGCGCACAATTTTGGCTGGGCACCCTGTGGAAGTTGAGCAATCCATCCCCAAGCAATCAGCAGGTTTATTAGGACTGAACTGCTCGTACTTCCCTGGTGGCGCGGTGGTTAGGAGTCCACCTGCCAATGCAGGGGACACGGGTCTGATCCCTGGCCGGGAAGATCCCACATGCTGCAGAGCAACTGAGCCTGTGGGCCACAACTACTAAGCCTGCGCTCTAGGGCCTGTGTGCCCCAACTGCTGAGCCCACGTCCTGCAACTACTGAAGCCCGCGCGCCTAGAGCCCACGCTCCGCAACAAGAGAAGCCACCGCAGTGAGAAGAGTAGCTCCAGCTCGCCGCAACTAGAGAAAGCCCGCATGCAGCAATGAAGGCCGAACGCAGACAAAAAACTAAACTAAAATAAGACTGAGCTGCTCTACAATACTCAGCTCAAAAGCACAAGATTGGGAAGTGGTTAAAATGCCAGCTCTGTTATTAGATCTGGGTTCATCAAACCCTGGTTCCACCATTTCCTAATAGCCACAGGGCCTTGGACAAATTACTTAACCCATCTGGGCCTTAACTTCCTCATCCGTTAAATGGAACTATATATAGGATATTGTGAGGATTAAGGAGGTAGTGCATTTAAAGTGCTTAATATTGTGCCTGGTGTATAGTAAGGAATTGGTACACGTTGGCTATTATCACCATTGCTGCATTCTTTTCTTCATTTACGTACTTTTTGCCTTCTTACAGAGGAATAATCAACACACACACTACATTCTCCTTCAAGTAGCATCTCCCTCCCCCAAGTCAGTGGAAGCAGCTGGATTATGCACAGATCATGCACAACTATGACGTTCCTTTTCTGAGGAATGTGAAGTCCTCATTCTGATTCACAGTACAGTGATCCATGGTTCTCTTCTCTCTCACCACCCGCCTCTCTGCTGAAAACATGAAAACACAGTTAAGAAACAGCAGGGCTGAAAGCTACAGCCTCTCCTAAGTTAAGACTTGGGCAATATCCACCTAGAAAGATGAGGCTGATTTCGGACCTTAAGAGCAGCCCTGGAAATCCAGGCGGTGGATCTGAAGCAAAGAAGTCCTGCGATCCAACTTGGTAGGAGCTGTCTTGGTGTTCTACAGTGGATGTGACAAGCAAGCATGCTGGTGGACTGCAGTACGCTCCGATCTAAAGGGAGAACCGGTGAGACTGCAGCAAAGCATCGCTCAAAAAACATGCACCGCATCAATCGTTCGTGTTGCACTTAAGAAAATTCTGACTTGGTCATTCATCTATTCACCGTTCCTTTAATTAACTCTTGAGAATAAAACAAATCACTGATTAAAAGTGTACTCACACATCACTTACTCAGCTTACCACTTCACCAGGTCAGTGTCACCTACAACAGAAGTTCAGTTTCCACTCACTCCGGTTCCTGCCCAGGGAGTAAGCATGCGATCATCAACTTACTACACCACTGCCCAACCATTTCCATGGTGAGAAGGGATCTGACATCCCTTCTTCCTGACTGCCTCTGGCCATTACTCATCGTGCAATTCTGGATCAATTTCCAAACCACAGCATGTATAAAGATGTACTGCAGGTAGCAACCATGCCCAACACAGGTTTTACTTCAGATGCTAGAGGCTACTTACTATCATCACTTCCTCCTGTAAAAGAGAAGGGTATTTCCTGGGGCCACAAGTATAAATAAGATACACTCACCAGATACTAAGTTTCCAGAGGGGCCAGACTGTTTCATTCACCCTTATATTCCTGATGCCTGCAGCTAGCCCAGAAAAGGTGCTCACAAATATTTGCTGAATGAAACTTCTTGCTCTCAAAGTGCCAGTGTCTATAGTTTATAAACATGTAAACAATCAATTGATGAGGAATGTGCAATGGAGGGAGGTACCAAATGCTAAAAGTGCCAGAAAAGTCTCTATATTCTATATTCACAAAATTAGAGTCTTTTCATTTGCAAGCTTATGAATATGTCTTACATAGTAATAACAAAAACTGGCCACTATCTATTGAGTTGTCACTGTGGACCTGGCATTTTTAGACATTACTCATTTATTACTCACAACACCTCTATGGTGTGGAAGAGGAAACTAAGACTTAGGATGACTATAAGGTCCAAGGTGACATGGTTAGGAAGCAGCACTGCTAGCACAGAATCTGACTTCTGCGGGCTAGCCCAATGAAAGTGCTTCTGTAGACAGAACAGTCTGGTCCTTGCAGGCTAGATGGAATAGAAGCTGATGACATCAGAGACCAAAGAGGAAGCTAACGTACCAGTTATCTCTTCCTGAGGTCTTAAGTGGCTAAACTAAGGTGGGATAACTGGGGAACATGGAAGGAACCAATTCCAGAGAAATGTCAAAGATCCAATGGCATGGCTGACAGACTAGAGATGGGGGGAAGGCAGGCACTCAGGACAACTAGCAGTTCTGATTAGTGGTATCAACAGAGCAAGAAAAAAAAAAATTATCCACCTTACATATATGGAGAAAAACAGCTAATACCTGAGTATACACAACCATTGTTTTTACAAATTCTCTTACTGAAGACTCATAATCACTCCCCAAAGTAGGGATTATTATCACCTTTTATAGATGGGGAACTGGAGGCTCAGAAAGGTGAGACCCTGCTCCAGCCGTCACCCAGCTGGGAAGTGTGAAGAGCCAGAATACGATCCAAGTCTTCTGCTCCCAGAGCCACAGCTGTTCACCACTGATACCCAAGTGGCTGAAGATGGTATTTTAGGACATTTAAAATTAGGACTAACAAAAATTTGATTCAGACATAATTGATGAATAAAGACCAGTTGCTGTCTAGAAAGCAGACTGCCTATATTCTTAAAAAGATAATAGGGGACTTCCCTGGTAGTCCAGTGGCTAAGACTCCATGCTCCCAATGCAGGGGGCCTGGGTTTGATCCCTGGTCAGGGAACTAGATCCCACATGCCGCAACAAAGAGTTCGCATGCCACAACTAAAGATCCCGTGTGCGGCAACTAAGACCCAGTGCAGCCAAATAAATAAATATTTTTAAAATATAAATAAACAAAAAGATAATAGGCTTTAACTATCTAGGACATAAAAAAAGAAAGCAGGATTCTAATTAGACGCTCTTTATTTTAAAGCAGAGGGATATTACATTGAGTGCATTGAGTTTTAACATGTACCATTTCTGAGTTTTACCCAGATGAAGTTTAAAAATGTGAACGATCCTGACTTGTCAGCTTAGAGACAACCACAGAATTCATCAGTTATATTAAATTTTCACTGAGGGGGGAAAAATTTAGGTTAATCCACCTGGCTGTAAAAATAGACTTGTACACTGTTAAAATAGTACACTGCCTCATTATTATTCCAGTCTCAAAGGCTTAAACAAGCTCAGCAAGAGAGATGTGTATGTTCCCTGTTTTCTCAACAAAGTATCAATTTTGAACTCAAAAAATGACCGTTCGGTAACCAAGAACTTGATCTCATAGTCTTAGCCCCTGCCTGGGAGGAATCTGCATATCTCTGAAAGTTTATCAGCTCTTCACATGCACTTCCAGTTCTCATTATAGTGTTTTTAGGGGAGCTCATTTACCAAATGAGTCCATAAAAAAGTTATTTTTAAATCCTGTACTAGATGGTTTATTGCTAAGTCAAGAAGGTGACACAAGAAATTAAACCTTAATGCCACTTGATGTTTTCCCTCGGCATTATACACATTCGAAGTGTAAAGAAAATAAATCTTTACAGCTACATCTAAGTGAGTTCCACAAAAGAGGAATTAGAATCATCTAATGGGCTACCCGCTGCACAGGAAACTTACTGCTACCTTTCCTTCATTACAGCAGACTTATTGCTGCCTTCAGGACAGACCAAAATTACATCAGCCCCACTTGAGAAAGGCTCTTAGGAGTTTTCAAAAATGCCACTCATTCTTTCTATTCCCCACTGTCTCAACAATAAATACCCTAAAAGCAGACAGTCAAGAAGTTTAAACGGGGATCTCAGCATCATCAGTGCTGTAGAACCTGTGATCCCTGTCCACTGAAGCTCTAGCCTTCTTTGATCCAATTTCTTCCAGCCCTCACCAGATTTCATTTGCCCAATAAGCTCATTTAGAATAATCAGTACATATAATGTCTAACTCAGTTTTAATACGCGGTCTATATAAAAACCAGGTATCTCCATGCTAACAAAACAATGTAGTAGTTTGATACTGTGGGTAGAATTTTAAACAAAATAAGAAACACCCTTCACATAAGGTTGCGGTCCTTTAACAGAAAAAATGGCTGTGGAAATGGAACAATGGCAGATACAGGAGAGATAAAGTCTTCAGCTGACTTACACATCTGCTTTGCCACTTTCCATCTCAGTAGTAAAAAGAGTGAGTTTTGGAAAGTTCCGTGAGTTTTGCCAAATTGCTTAAATGGGCTCAGTGAGCCATCCATCCCTCAAAGATTACTAATCCTGTTGTTTACGCGAAGATCACCACAGTTGTGACAAGAGAAACCCAGCTTCCACATTTTTTTCAAATCTGAAATTTCTTCTGTCAGCTACAACATTATGAGCCACCCCTCCCAATTACAAACGCGTTAGAAAAAGATCTTCACCTTTCTTCGCATTTAACACTGTATTCACCAGCAGCCATCCCTCCAAAAACTTCTAACTGTAGGTAACCAAAGATCTTTTATCAATGTTTTCTTCCAAATGGAGTTTCTAGTTATTTTCATGACAAACTGTATGGAACTTTTAAAGAAAGTTTAAAAGATTAAGAGAATTATTTGGGGGGAGGGTAGAGTGAACTGGATGCAGGAGGTATGTATTATTCCACTAAATATATTTAAACCGAAAAAATTTAAATCATTCTGTTAAATTGATTAACCGATGCGAGCACGACCCTACCTCCGTGAACTTGATGCAGGGAGGCTGGCACTCAAAGGCTGAGATCGGACAAGTGAGCGGTCAGAGCAAAGAACACCCCCAGGTATCCCCCGCCCGAACAAACGCCAGGGTGGAGGAGCTGCTGTTCTAAACGGCACTTCAATCAGCCAAGGGGAGAGTAAAGTGTTGAGCATGGACGACTGAACACCTCAGGAGAATAAAGGTATCCCCGAGGGACCAGCGCTCAGGCTGAGGCCTCCCTCTACGTTCAAGCACTGTACGGCTCGTCTCCGCTGCATACTCTGAAAAGCTATTTTCGCCCACAGCCAAAATCAGCAACAGCAAATTACCCTGCAAACAATGGAGAGGGCGCCGGCTCCGCACGGCTAAAAACTCTGAAGAGGCAGCGCGCAGAATGACTTTTCACTGGGGCAGAGCCGGGAGGAGCGGCCGCGGGAAACCGGGAAGCTGGTCCGCCGCCCCTCCGCGCTCCGGCCGCGCGCAGCGCGCGGGCTCCGGCCACCAGCCCCGAGCCCGAAATCCCCGACGGCTGCGGAGACGCGGCGGCAGCACCGGAGCTTACAAAGAGGGAAGGAGGCCGTCCTCCGCGAACACGGTGCCGCGGATGGCGGGATCCCCTCCCGTCCCCCACCGCGCGGCGGGCGCTACCTGGCAGAGAGGGCGGCGGAGCGCCGGCCGTCGGGGAGACCCGGGCGTGCTGGGACCGACGAGCGGAAGAGGACGGCGGGCGGTGCTTTGCGCCACCCCCGCCCGGGAGGGGGACCTGGGATCTCGGAACCGCGGGCCGGGCTCCCACTCCCCACTTCCCAAGCCCGTCAGCTCGAACTGAGCGGGGAAGCCCGGACTCGGGGCCGCCGGGAAGAGAGGGAGGGAGGCGGAGAAACGCGCAGGGCGACGTCGTTCCCGCGGGAGCCCAAGCCCACCCGGCCTCGCCCCTCGGCCGGGCGCCCCCACCGCCACTCCGCGCGCGCCTCTCACCCGGCTCTTGCAGCGGTGGTGCCGGCCCGGGTCGGAGTAGGTCCGGTCCACGGTGAGCGCCGTGTCGCTGCCCGGCATCTCGGCACTCGCGCTGGGAACTTTCCTGGGGCCCCGTGCCGCCGCGCCGCGAGCTGCCTGCCGTGCTCGAGCTCGGGCTCGCCGGGGGTGAGCCTCGGCCAGGGGGCGGCGCGGGCTACCGCAGATGCTACAGACAGCCTCGCGGCCGCCCTGCGCCGCCACCGTCGCCGCCGCCTTGGGGTGGGGGGGGAAGGCGGGGCAGGGACGCGAGAGTCTCCTCCCCCTTCCCCTCTCCGCCCCCCCCCCCTGCGCGCCCCGCCCGCACGAGACTACTCTCCAGGTGCTGCTGTTTGCCTCCCTCCCTGGCTGAAACTTGATTCCACCCCCTCCCACACTGCCCTTTTTCCTCAAGAGATGAGCGACATCTCCACTACTTGTTGACTTAATCTGTATGTTTATGATAAAAGATGGATTTTTGGCAAGATGTTGTGAGGCTTGCCTTAAATGCTTCCTTTCGTGTTACTCTTATTCCAAATGCACTTACGGGACATCTTCTATGTGCCAGGCCCTGGAGTAGGGACCAGAGTTGGGTTTTCTTGGTTTTTGGGGGGTTTTTTAAGCACATATTTTTCTTCTTCTGATTCCACTGAGCAAAGAATACACTTCCCCCCTAAACAACGATCTGTGGTGTTGTGTATTTTAATTTTGCATGTCTGGCTCACCTTTATGTTGGAAGCTACTTAAAAGTCAAGACATATCTTTTCAGTTTAGTATTCCCTATTTCCAGGGAAGAGTCCCTGCCCACAAGAAATATGGCGTCTAGAAGAGACATTCAGAACACCTGGTCTGGTTATGAAGGGTGTACTAGTGGGAGACTGAGTTGAAATATTTAAAGTGCAGTGCACATGACCAGTCTAGAAGGAAGGAGGGATGTGCTCCTCCCCTTCAATGCGTTGAGCAGGGAGGGAAGTGCAGGCAGAAGAAAAATACTGAGCATAAAAACAAGGGTACATTTGGAAAACCTCAAGTCATCAGTTTAGGGAGTCTCTTCAGGAACAGAAAGACGAAAAAGTAGGTGGACACCATGTGGTGCAGGGCTCTACTTTCAAGGCTAAGAAGTTCAGCCCTATTCTTGGGTATTGGGCAGCTGCTGGAGGTTTCTGAATGGGGACATGACAGTATCAGGATGGAAATTTAAGAAGAGGAAATATCTGATAACTGTGTGAAACACTGATTAAAGATGGGTAAGGGACACTGGTTAGAAGGCCACTGCAAAAATTGAGAACCACCTCAATGTCCTTCAGAAGGAGACTAAGTATCAATAAATTATGATAGGGTTTCCCTGGTGGCGCAGTGGTTGAGAGCCCGCCTGCCGATGCAGGGGACACGGGTTTGTGCCCCGGTCCGGGAAGATCCCACATGCCGCGGAGCGGCTAGGCCCGTGAGCCATGGCCGCTGAGCCTGCGCGTCCGGAGCCTGTGCTCCGCAACGGGAGAGGCCACAACAGTGAGAGGCCCGCGCACCGCAATAAATAAATTATGATACAGGCATCCAGTGGAGTGTTAGGTACCTGTAATAGAATGGCAGCTCTCTATGTATAGCTACAGAAATATCTCTAACATATACAATTAAGTGAAAAAAGCAATGTGCAGAATAATATATGTGTTATTCCACCATTTATATAAAAACAATATATGTATATGCTTAAATATGCATAGCATATTTCTGGGAGGATTAACATGAAACTAGGGAAATAGACAAGAAACTGATGGAAGGAGAGAGGAACTAGGTAGCTAAAAGGAGGGTTGGGGATTAATTTCTCACTGTATATGTTCTTTAAACTTGAATGCTTGAACTGTGTACATATATTAACCATTCAAAAAGTAAAATAAAAAGATATATTTTTAAATAAAAAGGATAAACTTATTAAAACTAATTTAAGAAGAAATAGAAAAGCCCATACAATCCTAAAACCGTTCAAAACATTAAATCAACACTTTAAAATACTCCCCCCACCCCCCACCGTATATGATACAACTGCACCAGGCCCAGGGAGTGTTTCAGGTAAGTTACTCCAAAGCAGAGAAGAGAGATATGAAATGTGAGTGCGTGTGTGTGATTTTAGCTAGGGTGGCCAGGGAAGGCCTCCCTGATAAGGTGACATCTGAGCAGAGACTTGGGAAAAAGACAGCCAGCCATGTAGATATCTGAACACTGCAGAAAGAAGGAACAGCAAATACAAAGGCCCTGAAGGAGGAATATTTGGGAGTGTTCAAGAAAGAGCAAGAAGGCTAGTGTTCTCTGGAACAACAGTAGATGAAATCAGAGACATTTCAAAGGACTAGATCACATAGGGCCATTTAGGCCATTTTAAGAACTCTGAGGAAAATGGGAAGATTTGGAAATTTTTAAGCAAAGGAATGGAGTGACGTGCTCTGCCTTTTCACTTGGGGGAAAAAAAAAATGGATCCCTACCTCAAGGCATACACAAAAAATCAATGCCAGATAGGTTAGAGACCTAAAGGAGAAAACACAATTTTTAAAACTGCCAGAAGAAAATGGAAGAATATCATTATGATCTCAAGTCATAAAAAGCAGTTCACAAAAAAGCATAAAGATTCAACAACATTAACGTTTTAAAACTTCTGCTTATGAAAAGAAATAATAATAAAGTGAAAAGATAAGCTACAAACAAAACTTGAGCTAAGAAAATCAATATGGATGAATTTCACCAACGATACTGAGAAACAAAAAAAGCAAGCCACATAAAATTACCTGTTGTGAGATTCTATTCAGATAAAGTTAAAATTTAAAGGATAAATGACATTTTTTAGGAGTCCTAAGATACATAAACTATTAAGAAACGTAAGAACATCATATACACAAATTTCAGGACAGTATTTACCTCTGGTGGGGGGATAAAGAAGGATACAGTAGGAGAGGAATACAAGATTATAAATAATGCCATATTTAATGAATGGCTATTTTTTTGAATATTATTTTATTGTATGTATTTATTTTTTATTTTTCGGCCACACTGCGCAGCATGTGGGATCTTAGTTCCCCGACCAGGGATAGAACCCGGGCCCCCTGCATTGGAAGTATGGAGTCTTAACCACTGGGACCACCAGGGAATTCCCTAATGAAAGACTATTGGTATACTGGCTATGTATTCACTCCTACACACATACACAATATTTCATAATTTAAAATTTTAAAGACAACAAAGACTCAAAGGACACATGCAATGATGGTATTCTTAATCCTGGATTTAAGTCACCAGTGGTGGTGGTATCATCTCAAATACACAAATGTAATAGCACTTTTACAGGTATAAATTTTGATACAAAGGCAAGACAGTCTGTTATTATTAAGTCTTTATGTCAATTTAATCTTATAAAGATCCATTCTGAGATCTATAAGAGTCTATCTCTGGGTTCCCCTCCCCCATTTGCCCGATACCTCATTTATTCCAGGTACTTAGGACTATAGAAATTATATTGCTCAAGTGTATGTGTGTACATGTGTGTGTGTAACTGTGTCTGTGTGTAACTTTCGAGAGGGCAGACCTAAGTAAGGTCCCTGACAAATCAAGGTTGGGCATTGGTTGGTGTGACAACAGTCATCTACTTTCCATTTCTATTACTGTCTTGGTATTGCTTAGAAGAGCTCCATTCTGGAAATGCTGACCCTCCGTAAAAAGGATGAATTAAAATTTTATTAGGCTCACTTCAGTTTTAATTAACAGAGGATGTTGTTTTTTAGATCATTTAGATCTATTTTATAAGCTAGTTGCCCAAAAGCTGCTCTACTGGGCACTCATACAAAATAATGTTTTTAAAAGCCCAAATTAAACAGCACAAGAGCAAGCTCCCCAGAAAAGAAAGAAAACAAGCAGTGCTGATCACCATTTGGCTCTCCTATTTGGAAATAGGATCCACGGGGAAAAGAGACCATGCACCTTCTTTTGGAGGCAATGCCCAGGATTTTGTCAGACCCATAGAGAGAGAGAGAGAGACAGAGAGACAGAGACAGACAGAACACTTAAATTCTTCTTCAACGTAAGAAATTGTCTGTGCCTCTGATAATAACCTCCAAAAGCCTCTATGAAAAAAGTAATTTTTAAAACAATCACAATTTTTAAAGTAGTGAATGCAGTCAGAACAATAAGGAAGACAAAAGTACAAAATCTAGCGTGTGAAATAAGAATTTACTTCCAAAGTGTAAGTGGCACAATAAGGCGGCACAGGCTAAGCACAAAAGAATTGTAACAGGTCTTTTGAGCTGTAAGAGTTTAAAGTTTGGAATGATGAGAAAAGGTTCATAAAAGATGTATGGCGTTTCTGGAAACTTGGCCGCAGCCACCGTGGTGGGAAGCGGGCTGAGGATGGCCGGGGGCCTGGAGACCAGCTTGCAGACAACCTCAGACCCGGAGAGGCCAGGCTTGGCAGGCACCTGTCCAGGTGCCCAGACTTCAGTGGCCGCAATGCTGCCATCAGCACAGGGCTGGATGGGTGGGAGCCGGGAACAGGCCGCAGGAGGCCCAGGACCCTGAGGCTCAGAGAGGACCTTCAAGATGGTGGAGGAGTAAGACGTGGAGATCACCTTCCTCCCCACAAATACATCAAAAATACATCTACATGTGGAACAGCTCCTACAGAACACCTACTGAATGCTGGCAGAAGACCTCAGACTTCCCAAAAGCCAAGAAACTCTCCCACATACCTGGCCGTGTGGCTGACAAGGTCTTGGGGCTCCGGCCAGGTGTCAGGCCTGAGCCTCTGAGGTGGGAGAGCCGAGTTCAGGACATTGGACCACCAGAGACCTCCTGGCCCCACATAATATCAATCAGTGAGAGATCTCCCAGAGATCTCTGTCTCAACATTAAGACCCAGCTCCAATCAACAACCAGCAAGCTCCAGTGCTGGACACCCCATGGCAAACAACTAATAAGTCAGGAACACAACCCCACCCATTAGCAGAGAGCCTGCCAAAAATCATAATAAGGTCACAGACACGCCAAAACACACCACTGGATGCAGTCCTGACCACCAGAAAGACAAGATCCAGGCTTATCCACCAGAACACAGGCACCAGTCCCCTCCACCAGGAAGCCTACACAACCCACTGTACCAACCTTACCCGCTGGGGGCAGACACCAAAAACAATGGGAACTATGAACCTGCAGGCTGCAAAAAGGAGACGCCAAACACAGTAAG